TTGTTTATTAATAAACAAGTGTTTTCTTTGCCAGTGTCGGCTACAAAGATGAAGTTGACGATGCTGACTCACGATCTTCGCAGTAGTCAACGCGCCAGAGAGAAATACACAATTCATACGGATTATCTGCTTATTACATAAGCAGAGAGCAGTCTGTAGTCTGTTTTCTTACGTTTTGAATTGTTCTGTTTAAAAGTAGACCTGTCTGTGAGGCAAGTAGGCTACCTTATATGCTGAGTTTCGGTTCATTTATGAGACGAGCTCCAGTTCACGCGCCGGCGCCTCCGTGTTTATCGTCTGCTATATTTACTTCTTATTTATTAAATCCAGGCAATTGGTTGATGAAACATTGATTAAAATTAACATACAATTAATACAAAACTAAATGCACTTTAAAGAAAGGTTTTGTGCTTTCTGTTTGGTGTGTCTGTGAAATTTTTAAAGCATCTTTTAGTGCCGCGTTCAGAGCGCTCATGTCCGTAACATTGTTTTTTCCTCATAAATGCAAACACAAATTTTTTTTTTACAAATTTTTTTGTTCTGTGGAGACTACAGTTAGGCCTACTCATAATTTGTATTCTGAATACGTAACGCTGGTATATGTATTCCGTTACTCCCCAACACTGATATTAGTATAACCTTATCTGCAATATATTTTAATAACACGGTTTTGGCGGTTATAGAGTTCTAATGACGGTGTTCAACTATAACCATCGGTCTCACGGTTATATAATAACCGTCACACCCCTAGTTTTAACATAAACAATAATAAAAATAAAAAACCTTTCACAAACAGGTCTTTGATAACTCTATTCAAATGTAAATAAATATATATGTTAGGGGTGTGACGGTTCACAAAATTCACGGTTCGGTACGTTTTTGATACAGCAAAAAGAAAGAAAAGCCAGAGAAATTTCCTTGATTTAATTTTTTTAATAATTTTTCATCAAAGTATGATAATTTTTTACTTTGAGCAGTGATGGAGCTACACTTGACTCTTCTTAGGAGCATATAAAACAAAAACAGCTCCTTGCTCCTTGAAAAAAATTAATTGTAATATTGTAGTAGTTATAAACAAAGGTTTATTTTATTTCAGATTAACATTTGAGGGCAGCAATTTTATTCATAATGTCGAAATAAAACCGACGTAACGTTACTTGAAAGCATTATAGCCTACTATTCCTGCCAAACTTCCATGGTTACAGTTAGTAGTGTTACTACAGTAAATCCATGGTGAATGTTGCTGATCTGTGGGCACTGGATAGTTCATTCATGGCACAATGTTTATTCCTGTTTTCCACGTCAGCGCTGTTTGATCCGTTAATAACGGAGAAATGTGAATGTTTCTCACTAGATCTCGCTGCGATATTGTTACTTCAGTGGCAAATTCAACTGCTTTCTTTACTGGATCTCTTAGTGCTGTGTAGTAACAGTGTCGCTTGATCAAGACGCTGGATTGGTCCAAACTGATAAACGATCCGTCAACCACACAATAACGAGTAGCGCAGCTGCAGTTTCGTTCCGCTTACATTACGTTTGCTATTTGATGTTGGGCAATGTTGTGGTCGCGGCAGCGTCTCTTACATTATGAGCACGCTTGCCACGCCCCTACATTTTAAATAACGAAATTTTGGTCAGCAGGAAAAATGGTCCAACAAACCGTTCGGTTTGTAATGCACACTGAACCGAAAGCCTCGTACCGAACGGTTCAATACGAATACGAATATATATATGTATATGTGTGTGTGTATATATATGTATGTGTGTGTGGAATGCTTTATATCAGGCTTGATGTAATTTTACTTGATTTGTGATTTAATAACTGTTTCATTTCATTGATTCGAGTACTAAAATTTTCTATGCATCTCTGCTGCAAGCTAAACCACAACAGTGGCGTTTGTATTTATTTATTTTACATGTGTATTTTTTTGCTTTGATTGTAGCTGCTGTCATGAAATGGGACCCAGCTGCAACAGAGGCCCAAATAAAGTCTGCAGCCGATCATCTGAAACATGCCCCCGGGAGAGTCGGGGCTTGCCGCTATAAATGAAGCTTGTGAAGCTTATAGCAGCCACATTTTGTTAATTGATATGTTATACTGTTTTAACAACATTTTATAGATTATTTAAAGGGAAATTGTGTTAATTTATAACTTTACTGTTCTGGCTTTTAAGTTTTGGTCCAGTAGAACAAAATAGTAATAAAATATATATTTTGAGATTTAAATAGTTGATTTCTTGGAGTGATCAGTTTGGTTTACAGGCAAATGGTAAGCAGTTTATTACAATTATATTGATAAGATATACAAATGCAAGACTTGTATATACACTACACAGTTCCCGTATTCAATTGAGTATTCAATATTATCAAAATTCTTTCAAATCTTATTTAGGTCTATGGTCTGTGTGTCTGCAGTTTCATGACACGACAACCATTAACAATGAGTAACTGGGTTTTTCTCAGTGAGAACTAACTCACTGCCACTGTTTTGAAGTAAAGATTTTTTAAAGTTGGATCCTTGCAAAATGCACAAATGAGATTTCCGTTTCAATATGGGTCTTTAACAGTCTTCTTTGACATTTATACTACAGAAAACGTGACTAATACAACTTTTATTCTGGCTGCCTTTAGATGTCTAACAATTACGTCTGTAGCATGTCTTTAATTGACGTCTAAACAATGTCCAAAAAAAATTTATAAAAAACGTTCATTCTGGCTCCTGTGAGGACGTCTTCTGGATGTCTAACAATTACGTCTGTAGCACGTCTTTAATTTACGTCTAAACAATGTCCTGAAAAGACGTATAAAAACCTTTCATTCTGGCTCCTGTGAAGACGTCTTCTGGATGTCTAACAATTACGTCTGTAGCACGTCTTTAATTTACGTCTAAACAACGTCCAGAAAAGACGTATAAAAACCTTTCATTCTGGCTCCTGTGAAGACGTCTTCTGGATGTCTAACAATTACGTCTGTAGCACGTCTTTAATTTACGTCTATACAATGTCCAGAAAAGACGTATAAAAAACTTTCATTCTGGCTCCTGTGAGGACGTCTTCTGGATGTTTAAAAATTACGTCTGTAGCACGTCTTTAATTTACGTCTATACAACGTCCTGAAAAGACGTATAAAAAACTTTCATTCTGGCTCCTGTGAGGACGTCTTCTGGATGTCTAACAATTACGTCTGTAGCACGTCTTTAATTTACGTCTAAACAACGTCCAGAAAAGACGTATAAAAAACTTTCATTCTGGCTCCTGTGAAGACGTCTTCTGGATGTCTAACAATTACGTCTGTAGCACGTCTTTAATTGACGTCTAAACAACGTCCTGAAAAGACGTATAAAAAACTTTCATTCTGGCTCCTGTGAGGACGTCTTTTGGATGTCTAACAATTACGTCTTTTAGACGTATTATAGACGACTGTTTGCTCGCTGGGTAACGGTCCCTATTAGGCTATTTTAAAGGCTCCTAATTTTGTTTTGCAGGTCTCCTACAATAGGTTTACATTCATCCAAGGTCAAAAAACACTTTCATTTTCTCATACTATACATTGCTGGATCACCTCTTTTCTCACAGTGTCTGAAACGGTTCGATAAAGGATTAAGTCTCTCTTAACCCCTCCTTTCCGAGAGCCTACTCTGCTCTGATTGATCAGATGGCCCAGTCAATTGTGATTGTTCTAATGCTTACAACTTGTGTCGGGAAATAAACATATCATCGCTTATATTCCTGTGCGAGTCCTCATCCTTAGTGGATTTGCTTTCGCAGGAAAGAACCAACATGAACCAAACTATTCCAGTCTCATCTACAACTACAGCGTTTGATGGCGGCGGGTCAAAGTAAACATCATTTGCGGGCAGCCAATGAAGACCATAGGCTGGCATTATGCACTTTTTTTGTTCCATCATGTAGGTTTGTGCAGAAATCAAGTCTGGAATTAGTGACGATTGGTTTCAGGCAGTTTAGAATCGGTTCTTTCTTTTGTGAGACAGTAAATCCAGTTATCATGTACTTTGATCTTTGAAACTTAGCAGAGCTTTTAACTTCACAAAAAGCTATATTACACAATATATTGAAGGTAATATCTGAAAAAGCATAATAGGGGCTCTTTAAAAACCAAATAACTGTGACCTACAAAGTTGTTAATTGATGGTATATGGTTTTGTTGAAGCCATCAAACCACATTATTTCAATAGGTAAATAATCATGTTTGACAGTAGAATTTCTGGAGAAAAACCACATTACCCATGATTCTGCAAAATCTCCACCAATCGAAATCACCAACAAATCATGCCAAAAGAACACTTTAGTGCCAGTCTACATCCATGAAGCACTCTGAATTAATGAAGTTAGTCTTCATATGACCTCAAACTACTTAAATCCATGCATTAAACGGAAGTTGCGGTAATATTTTCTTCCCTATTGGGACGTACAGTATATCCAAGTGAATCGACTTTTTGAACAAGAAAAAATTTAGTGTATCTCTAGATAATCAACATCTTTAAATCAATACTTTTATATTTCTCAATCGTTCTTTTTCTTTATAATGGTTCATACTCCATACCTTTTTGCTTCTAATCAAAGTTTGTAATGTTGTGATTCACCTCGTAACTGGTTGGTTTTGTTCATGTCTTTGTTCACTCTCTTAAAATGCCTATGAGAAAAATGAACGGGGAAAACCCTTCCAGATCTAAGGCAGCTGAAAAAGCGGGCAGCTCTCGATACAGTGGGATTTTTAAACCAAACGGTTGGGTTTGTCTATATTTGAACCAAACAACAAAACAACCCTGCATTTTTTAGAGTGTACGGTGATTAATAATGACATTATGTAGAGTGTGGTTCCAACTGTAGGTGGGGATATTTGACAGCTGCTATTAGTGGTGTGTCATACTTTACTATGCAATGGGGCCTAAACATGCACAAACCTCAAATCATTTATAGTAAGAGGAACTGCAACACTGATCATAACTGTTAAGTGGAATTGTAAGGTTGTTTACGCACTAAGGCTCTTTTGACAAATTCCTCCTGGCAGGCCTTGCCATTCTCCTTCTTGCCCCCCCAGGCTTTGAGCGCGGAGGCTTGCAGGGCACGGCCATAAGAGAAAGTGAGGGCCCAGGGTTTGTTCAGGGGACACTGGTTCATGGCGCTCAGATTGATTGAGGCCTCCTCCTCACTCTGGCCTCCGGACAGGAAGGTGATGCCTTTCAAGGAAGAAGATAATAAAGGTTTTAGTTGTGCCTCCTTGTTTCGCAAAAAATGGATACTTCAGATAGAAATGAATTAACTAGTAATTGAATTGTGGCATGTTTTGTGGTATCATGCAAATATCATATCGCTGGCTAAGAGAATCAGTGTCAGAACATGTTCAATTTACACCAGTCACATTTAATTCAATTTGCATTCAATTTATAGTAGCCTACATGAGTTGGAATTCCAGATATAGGGCCCTATTTTAACGATCCAAGTGCATGGTCTAAAACGCACAGAGCTAGTGCAGTTAGTGCGTGTCCGAATCCACTTTTGCTATAGTTTAACGACGGGAAAAATGGTTGGCGCACCCGGCGCATGGTCTAAAAGGGTTGTCCATATTCTCTTAATGAGTAATGGGTGTGTTGTGGCGCACATTACTAACGCACTCTTTAAATTAAAAAAATATATATTGCGCCATTGACTTTAGACCAGGTTTTGGTTGGTCAATGGCACAGTTTATTTCAGTTGCCTCAAAATAGCAACGCGTCAACAATGCGCCTGAACAAGCCTCGTTTTCAGACCAGCGGTCCATGGGCGCACAAATGGGCGCAAATGCATTTGCTATTTAAACAACGTGGCGCAGGACATGAAAATTATAACTGCGTCAGGCTGAAACTAGCAAAAAACACTTGCGCCTGGCGCTGCATTGCACCGGGTGTATGATAGGGCCCATAGTGTATGTTTTAATAAGACGATGAGCTGTATCAGTGTGTGTTTGCGGGGGTGTTCGACTCACCGGGAACTGCAGGGGGAACTGTGCGACGCAGGGCGGTGACGGTTGCCATGGCAATTTCCTGAGGGGCGTACTTGTGGGAGCAAGAGTGACCAGCGGTCACCATGTTGGGTTTTAGCAGCGTTCCCTCCAGGTACACGTGGTGGTCTGACAGAGCCTTGTACATTGCTGCCAGAACCTTCTCTGTCACATACTGGCATCTCTTCAAGTCGTGGTCACCATCAGGCAGGATCTCAGGCTCCACAATGGGCACGATACCATGCTGACAGAGACAACAGCAATGAATATTAATAAATCGTGAGATACCTTGTGCATATGAGTACTTCTTTTACAATTCTTAAGGGTCACAGACAGAAGGGAATTTTTTTAATTTTAATCGCAATGAAATAAAATGAAATAAATATAGTCTTGAAAAAATAAATAAAAAAGGACTGTATTGATTGTTTACATCAACAAAAGGTGCATTCAGTAGTTTGGTGATAATTAAAATTGTAGTCTGTTATTTTTTAAGTCATCTGAATGTTCTATATACTCACATGAGATAAAGACTTCTCATAATAGTTTTCTATAAAATGTGTTTTAATTTTATATGGTGTGAAACATGAACTAACCAAACGGTAACACTTTACTTGAAGGGGTGTACATAAGACTGACATGACACCTTCATAACCATGACATGACATATGTCATGAATATGAAGTAGGGTTTATGCATGTTTATGACAACTGTCATTAAGTGTCTTTCGCTCAATAATGACATTTTGAATGCAAATATGACATTGTTTAAGATGTCTTTGTTATGACATCTTGACATAAACCATAACATCATAACCTGTCAGTGTCTTTGTCATGACAACTTGACATTAAATTAAGTTAAACTGTCATGTGGTTGGTTTTGACATTGGCTGTCATAAGGCCATTATAACTGTGTCATGAATATTTTTCGTGACCTCAACTACAGTGGTACAAATTGAATTTGTCATTAAACAGTTATAATGGCTTCATGACAGCCAATGTCAAAACCAACCACCTGACAGTTTAATGTAATGTTAACCAATAAAGCTAAGTGGTTTCTTAAGTTTGATAGTTAATCTGCTATGTCATGTTTATGACAGGTTGTGTTGTCTTAGTAATGTCAAGTTGTCATGACAAAGACACTGACAGGTTATGATGTATTGGTTTGATGTAACAAAGACATCTCAAACAATGTCATATTTGCATTAAAAATGTCATAATTGAGCGAATGACACTTAATGACAGTTGTCACAAACATGCATAAAACTTCCTTCATATTCATAACATGTGTCATGTCATGATTATGAAGGTGTCATGTTAGTCTTATGCACACCCCTTCAAGTAAAGTGTTACCAAACAGACTCACCAACAGCAGTTATATGGAGCAAAGTGAAACTGAACAATGAAACACAAGGGCTATTTTTATACACAAATGCTGCATTCCTGTTCGCCTACTGCAACCGGATCTGGGCCGGTACTATGTTGTTGTCTTGGAAACCATTATAAAGAAAATTACGGTGGCCGAGAGAGCTCAACGCGCTGCAACTGAAGAAAACGCATGCAAATAGAAGAAAACACATGCAAATAGAAAACAACGCGTGCAAATAAAAAAAAAAACACATGCAAATAAAATAAAACGCATGCAAATAGAAAAAAACGCATGCAAATAGAAAAAAATGCGTGCAAATAAAAAAAAACACCTGCAAATTAAGAAAACATCAACATCAGTTTCACAACACACGTGTGCTCCAAATACTCACAACACCACCAATTACATAAACGCGCTGCAAATAACACAGAGCACAACGGAAACGTTTCCAGGGGAACCAAATAAGTGACGAACCGGCTGGGACGTGCCGGCATAGATATCCATAAATCTATGCGTGCTGGTGCTTACAGCTTAAAATTATACTTTATTTATTTGTTAATTTATTTGTTTGTGCAAAACATACAGAGATTACATTTTTTATGACATACAACTTGTATACAATGTACAAAATGTATTAACAATATGTTCAATGTCATCAGAATACAAATGAGAAAAGAACAATGAGCTGGAAACTAAAATAAATAAATAAAGAAGATAAAGAAGAAAAACATGAAGGAAAGATATTTATCTATACATCAGTTACACTGTTCAAATTGTTTCATGTTATTACATTTTCAAAATTTTAAAGTTGAGACACAGATATATAACGCATATTTTAAAAGCTTTTTTTTGTAAACTAAAAATAAAAATGTATTTGCATCCGTTATGTTAACAGCATCAGATTTCTGTCGTAAGACCAGCTGATGGACACCGTGCTGCGTTGTCATGGGAACATCCCACGTTGTCTTTAGTTGCTCCCTTCATCAAGTGCGTTCCACACGGCTGCCTAACAGCACACTAGAGCCTTGCTCACTCCAAAAGGGCTCTGCAATCTGCCCTTCGAAGGGAGTATGGCATAGGGAAGCTCACGAGCAATAAGCACGTCTCAGCCGGGTTCATCACTTATTTGGTTCCCCTGGAATTTGGAAACATTTCCGTTGTGGTCTGTGTTATTTGCAGCGCGTTTTCTGTATTTGGTTGTGTTGTGAACTTTTGCAGCGCGTTTCCTTATTTGGAGCACACGTGTGTTGTGAAACTGATGAAAATGTTTTTTTTAATTTGCTGGTGTTTTTTTTCTATTTGCACACGTGTTTTTCTATTTGCATGTGTTTTTTTCTATTTGCATGCGTTTTTTTTTCTATTTGCACGCGTTTTTCTCTATTTGCATGTGTTTGCTTCAGTTGCAGCGCGTTGAGCTGTCTCGGCCACCGTAGTAGAAAATGCTTAAAGGACAAAATTAATTAATAAAACATACTGTGTACATGCAAGCAGATAAACCCAGATTATGAACGCAACACACAAATTTTCATGTTAAGTGTTTTGTTTTCCAATAAAAAAAACAATTGAAAAAAAATTCCTTACAAAATTTAGGACATTTAGCCCAATTGGGCTCATCTGCTTGCGTGTATATAGAAATGTATAACATCAATAAGGTGTATATTTTATTTCATCTTTTAATATCACTATCAGTCACATGAAGTGCTTTTCAAATGAAGTGTGTTAGAATGTTTTTAGTAATGGAAATACTGCGGCATCCCTGTATATGGAACAAAAGTGCTTGCAGTTTGTTCACATATCTTTGTTTTTCTTTTGAGTGGTGGATTGAAACAGAAAGAAAATTGACAGCAGTGCTGCAGCTCTTTGGATGTTTCGCGCACCAGTTACGGGACTGAAAACTATGAATTGTGTTATGTCGTACTTGATGATCAAAGCAAAAGTGGTTGTAAAGTGTCTTACCATCTGGCAGATGCTGGCGTAGCGGGCGAGCACATTGGCATTCTCAATAATGGCAAGACGGGAGGGAGTAGTGGGAGTGATCTTCAACACGCAACGCCATTTAGCAAAGTCAGCACCATCTTTTTTATACTGCGCGCAACGCTCATACAGCCCATCCAGACCTGAGATGGACATTAATATTAAAGTGTGAACATTAGTGAAGAGAGAGAATAAAATGAATAAATTAAAGTTAAAAAGAGTGAGGTTACCCTGTGTGGTTGTCTCTCCGTTGGTGCCGGCCAGAGGTACAACACCCTTGTCCACCTTGATTCCTACCACCATTCCTCTCTCTTTAATCAACTCAGAGAAAAGCTTGCCATCATCAGTCTTCTGATAGAGAGTCTCATGGAAAAGGATGACTCCACCGATGCAGGGCTTGATGCGGTCGTCAGCAGTGAAAAGCAATTGACGGTACAACCTTCTGTTCTCCTCGGTGTTCTCAGCGTTGATGCTCTGGAAGCGCTTTGCAACACTGCCTGGAAAAAAGAAAGCCACGAAATAAAGTAAGAACTCCTCATTTGGGTAAACTATCATTTTGGAAGCATTTTGAGTCTAAAGTGTACCTGTGGACTCATCAGCTGCAAGAATTCCCTTGCCGGGAGCAACGATCCTCTGAGCAATATCGCTCAGCTCTTTCTTCTGATCAGGGCTCAGGAATGGATACGCGTGAGGCATCTTTACTGAAAGGGGGAAGGTGAAATCAGATACAAAGTTCATAGCCAAATAAAAAGTGCTGTATTAGGACTGTACTACACTGATGGAATCAGTCGGTAATGTTGTGGAACTTTAAAAGTAAAATACTAATTTCTGCATTATCAAATGGATGGTTGTTTTCAAACAGGTTTCCTGAACATCTGCCAATGGTTGTTCAAACAGATCATTTCACCCAAGATTCACTTCATTAGTTGAGTCATGTGGGGCTAAAAAAAATAGCCTATTTGTAGACCTCAGCAGTCATGATGTATTTTTGTAGGCCAACCCTGAAGTTAGCGACAAAAAACAAATAGATTTTTCCATTGGCTTTTGGGTTATCACAGAAAATAAGTTCCATGACAAATAAAAGTTTATGATTCATACATGTGTTGTTCATCAAGATAATCTGCACAAATGCACACACCTTTGAAGCCTAAATACAGTCACCAGAAGTAAAAAGTTAAAGTTAAACAAACTACACAAACTTTAACCAAGCTGGAGTCCACATTCAGCCCATTAAAGTGGCCACTCTGACCAATGACGTAGCCCAGATAAAACCCATGAGTGTGGCCCATGGACATGTTGGCTGGGTACTAATGACTCAAAGCGATGTTGTGATGAGGAAGTTGAACTATATTTTAAACTAAATACAGGATATTTTTTTCTCACAGATATATAAAAAATGTCCGCTATTGTCAGAGTTGCTTTTCTCTTTCCTCTAACAGTTCTGCTTTTTTTTTTATGTATAGGGAAGTATTGTGACGATACGCTTAACTCGCTCTACTCCATCTTTCTTTTCTTTCCTCACAACGACTGTCACTTGCTTTCTCTTTCTGTCTCCCTCAAGAGTTATATGAGTGTAAAGCCTTGCTCGAGGAGGCCTAGTCTCATTGTTGACCTTTATGTGGAGTATGTGGGACAAGCTCTTTTGCTGTCACCCCCTCCATCCTATCTCTGCCATTTTTGACACTACTGCCTAACAGTTCAGACTATATATAAACTAGCAATACCAGCTGCACTGGTGCTGACCAGCTGCTCTTGCATGAGAGTGACTGCAAATAAGATAAAAAAAAAAAAGTATCTAACACAATTTGTTGTCTTTTGTTTAATTGAAGCCTGGAGTTCATTCAAATCATATTACCAAAACAAACAAACAAACAAACAAACAAACAAACAAACAAACAAACAAACAAACAATCAAGCAAGCAAACAAACAAACAAACTACACTGCATGCCTCCATAGAGTAATTGATTACTTCTAAGTAACCCTCAGAGACCCAAGCATTGATATCGATGATATATTATTCTATTTTTAAATGGTTAAAATAAAACACAGAATGTGAAATAATATTATATATTACATTAAATCTACTCCTACTAGTGCTGTCAATCGATTAAAGAAAATAACTAATCTATCGTCAAATTTTCTGTAATTAATTGCTATTAATTCTGTAATTAATTAATCACGCATATCATTAAAGTTTTTAATATATTTTTATGTTGTAATAATTTCACAGTTAATCTACAAATTAATGTAGAAACAACATATTTATAAAAACAACATAAAGACAGTATATTTTAAATATTTTATCTAACAGATAGGAAATATATATATAAAAATAAAGTTATCAAACACTTCACTTAACTGTGTAATAATTTAAATATGGATTAATCCTTATCAGTCAAGAGCAGTGAGTGATTTTCTCTTCGTCTGTCGTTGTTTGATTAACATTAATGACAGACAGCAGGTTTATTAGGCTTCTGTCACTTTACGAACTGAAGCACATGACAAGGATCCGACACACTTCCGATGTCCTCGCAACTCTTTACGGTCATTTAAGACTTTATTTAACTAATTTAAGAGGATACTCGACAAACTGGGCATTTTGGCATACTTTTGTGCAATTTTGTCCATTCAAGCACGAAAGAGAACTCAATACGGCTGGTGTGCTGTCTGGAGTGGTTTTCTGTGTGCATGAGTCCTGTGTGTGTCTGTCACATGGACAGGAGATTCACACAGACAGTGTGCCAGTACAGATTTAAGCTTTTTTTTTTGCGTCTTATCGCGCATGAATGGTTTAATAGGAGTTGAATGAATGATAGCGTGATCACACACCGTAGCGCAGCCAAAGGATGACGAAAAAAAAAAAAGATGCTGTGTTAATTGCATTCATATTAATAGCATGAGTAAACGAGTTTATTTTGGTCTTCCATATTCCATATTTAAAGGCCTACAGTACAGTTGACCTTTATAACAGCAGGCTGAAGGATGCAGGCCAGATCAGTCTTCTGACACTTTATTAGACTATTTTGAATCATTCCTAATAACATTACATATATTTAAATATCTAATTATGTCTATTTAAAATCTATATTAAAATTAAAATCCCATATTTAGATGGAGATTTTTATATATATATATATATACATACATATACAGTATATGGCAATATCCCATTATAAGGAATATTGCCATTTTTGTCATTAAACGTGAATCATGTTTGATCTAAAACAGTCAGAATTGACTATATTGCAGGCAGATTCAAATTGTACATATTTTCCAACTGAAAATTATGTATTCCTAAAAATATTAGAAAAATCAATAGTTTAATTGCTTTAAACCAGTGTTAAGTATAGATCTTGCACCAAAAGTCACACATAAAACGCCTTTAGATATGTAGTCAGCCTTTTGCAATATTTAGCACTAGTGCATGATAACATATATTATAGTTGATATGGTAAGATGCTTTGTTGCAGTTATGATGTCACTTTAGACATCACTATAAGACAACTACTATAAGTAACTTTGCAAATACATGTCAACTAACTTTCATTAGAGTATCACTAGATTGTTAGTAGACCGATAGGGTTCAGGTTAGAATAAGTTGACGGTCTTGCAAAGCTACAGATATTAGCAGATATTAAGCAGACAGTCTACTAATACTTTAATGACTGCTAGTTGACATGTAGTTGCAAAGCAACTTATAGTTAGTAGAATGTAGACCATCTAAATAAAGTGTTACCAAAAAGGTTCTGTCTGTTTTCAAAGTAAACGTTTTGTAATCAGGAAGGACATGAACATAACTCCAGCTTCCTCCAGCTCTTACAAGTGTTTTGCACTGATAAAGCCGCCACAGTGTCCTGTTATTGTTCTCTTAATAACTACTAATTAGAACTGTGTTAGACTTTAATCTCAATGTCTTCTCAAGACAGAATTTAGATGTGCTTTAAAATAATATTCTTACCTCTCTTGCTGAAAGGAGAACAGACAAAATGGAGCGGCCCTTGAAGCGAGGGAGAGAGAAAGAGAGAGGAGAAGAAAAAAGACCTGGCTCAGACCACGGCCAACCAACTGCATGAGACTGTATTTATCCAGCATTATGACCCCTCACATTCAGCTGTCCTGCTAAAAATAGCTCCATCCTGACACTGGAGAAGAGTGGCAACATTCCCAAGCATGAAAGAAAGCGAGGGAGACAGATAAAAGAGAGGGGAATGAAGTGTGTGTAGGGTAAAAAGACTTACAGTTGAGTGTGTTGTGGAAAAAGGCTGCAGGGAGACATCTAAAGAGGGACAGATATGAAGAAGTTGGCTAATACAAACAAGTGTCAGAATCTACAGCATGCACTTTTGTTGGAAACTTAATCTGACAATAGCAGCATGTCGACCCTTGACCTTTCAGTGGCTTTTGGACAGCTGCAGGTCAGAGCAGTGGAGTAGGTTGACCCTGGCTGAGGCTCTGGATCTTTTGTCAGTAGCCTGATTTTTTTTTGTAATGAAAAGTTATTTTCAAATGTGATAGAGCCAGATATGTTCACAAGTCATTTTTTGGAAGTCCAAGTCAAGTCTCAAGTCTTTGAGCTCGAGTCCAAGTCAAGTCTCAAGTCTTTGAGGGGAAAGTTCAAGTCAAGTCTCAAGTCTTTTGCCACGAGTCCAAGTCAAGTCTCAAGTCTCTCTTGCCATCTGATCTGTCCCCTGCTGAGAGACACGAATTTGGAAAGTGCTGAGAGACACGGAAAAATGTGAAAATCGTGTCCGTGTACACGAATCAATAGATTTTAATTTCGTGACTATTTCACGAACTGCCGTGAGTGTGTTGCGACATCGGATTGAGAATGAGAATGTGACGTCACGCGCATTGCATTGTGGGAAGGCGTCGCCATCTTGGAAGGATACGCTATCCGTTGTCATGGTTACTTCAACAGTGAGACCGAGAGAAATAGCGACAGAGAGAGAGAGAGCAGCTTGATATTTGTTTGCATTTTTGCGATAAGGCCCAGTTTCTTGGGAATAAATGAAGAAGGGGGAAGCAAAAGGAAAGCGGCTCTATCGGGAGAGACTAAATAACAACACCAAGCAGCGTTATTTAGAGAAACTACTTGACATCAACAACATGGACCCGTACGACCTGCTACAGAATGGACGAAAGACCCAAAGCACCACCACCATCAATTACCTGGTTTATGGTATCAGTGCCTAACGTTACTGCCTACACAATAGAAAGAGTTCAGAAGCTTTAAGTCATTAGGAGCTTATGAACAATTCTGCTGCGGCTGGGTACAAGACTTAGAAACTCCCAAACCTGTAACGTTAAGCTGCGAGAGTTCAGTCATACTTGATATTTCAGGCCTCATTCATATGTGGAAATAAATCTGATATGAATCAGATACGTGCATTTGCACCTGTGCGACCACGTGCGACACCGCTGATCCTGGAGGCCACGATGGAGCCGCAGTGACGATGGAGCCATAAGTGGGGAGACACAGAGCGCAGCAGACGACTTGCAAGTTTATGGTGCAGGCGAGGCGACATCTGACTGCGGTGGAGCGGGAGGATCGAGGGATCCCGGTGGTGCCATAAGCCTGATAATCCCAGGGGGAGCAGAGGGTGAGATGAGCCAAGACGGGGGAGTCTGGATGATGGGCCGTGGTGGAGTGACGGGATCAGCGGCTGGAGGTGGAGCCAGGGGACACCTATGGAGGGGGATAGGGGTCCAGGAGGAGCTGTATGCCGGAGGGGCCCGAGGTGGATCCATGCCACAGAGTGGAAACTAGGCAGACGAACTGGCTGAAGTTTGAAGAGAAGGTGGGTGGAGGCAGGACGTAGAAGACTTGGAGCTGGGCAGGACCGGCGTAGATGCAGGAGAACTGGAACTGTCTCCTCTCTGGGGACAGGAGAGACAGGGTAACATTCTCTTCAAACAAAAACAACACAGATGGCAGAGGCAGCTCACACTCATGGTGGGATTGTGGGCGGGGCTGTAATCCATACCCTCGAACTCCAAGAGCATTCGCATTTGCACTGTGTTGCCGGCTCACACACCTGGTCAGATAGCCAGGCTTGCTCTGCTCTATTCTCCAGCGTAGGCTTGTACATTGCGGCAGACTTCGGCTTACTGTCTGTGTTGGGCTTAGGCGTTTCGTCCGAAAGAGGCAAATGGCCGGACCCTGGGTCGCAGGCTGTGAAAACAGATCCTCCGTGATGGAGATTCCAAAACGAATACCAATAATGGCCTTGGTTCTGGGAGGAGGCGAGGTATTGCTGGTGAGTTCATACTCTTTTGAGGGCTTCGTGTTCTGTCACTCGTTACCAAAATTGAAGTGACCATCGTATGTTCCCTGCGCTTAAGGACTTGTGGAAGGGCCCTTCGTAAAGGGGTTCAGTTGTTCACTTTAGTTTGGAAGGCCCTTCAAATGGCGTCCCCTTCCCAAAGTGCCCTTCAAGGGTGCAAAAATGGCGTTTGGAATTCGCCCATCGCTCGGTTTTGCTTCTTTTTCACCTGTGTTTTGATCTGGAGATTCTGTTCTCTTTAAGAAGATGTGTAATAGCGCCCCCTAATGTATTACGGTGAAAACGCGGATTGCCAGAAATTTCTGTCAATGGCGAGGAAGCTTTGTGTCATAAAAATGGAAAATTCTGTCAATGGCGGGGAAAGAGTTAATATACAGGTGTCAGTAAGGGACATTTTTACTGTAAAGTGATATGCATTTATCAAATTTATTGTTAAAGTGATTTTATTAACGATGTTTCACAAAGCTAAATATTAGGAAATTGACCCACTTGTCTTGCTCACTAAAGCTATATTTTATATTTAAGTAAGGTATTGCCAAAAGGGGAGCATGAAGAAACATGCCTTACAACATGCAGTTTTACCTAATAACAAATAAGCCTTCAGTTGGTAAGTATTTGCAATAGACAGTATTGAGAAAGACTTTCAGATGTTTAGGGTAACCTCTCCATGCTGAGCCTTATTTATCTGTATTTTGAGGAATAGATTGGTTTTCAGCTGTATTTTCAACCAACTGGTGACACTATTTCATTGTATACAATACTTTTCTCTAGATTTTTTTTGGCAAAGTTGTATAAAGTGATTACCATTATAAGGTTTTTGGAATTTCCGTAAGCCTATAAGAGCATGTGCGGGGGTTGCATGTATTCATATATGTTTAAGATTTCCAAGCTGCGAGTGTATGCGTGTATGAGATAAAAATGTGAACGATTCAGTGTTTGACGCAGTGGGCAGAAAAAAGAAAGAAAGAAAAAAGTCAGCTAGGCCATTAGACAGGAAGACTTGAGTGTGAAAGAGAAATTCACTGCTGCTGTGTTTGCAAGGTTAAAAATTGCAACACCTCATCTAATATATATATTTACACATCCACGGTATGACAAAAAAAAAAACAGTGCATCTCTTCAACGGTAATATCTTTTAAGCTACAACGATCAATAAACTCTTGCTATGTGAGTGTCAGTGACATTCATTTTTTCATCATGAAACTTTCCACTGATCAAAGAGATGTATTTTCTTTTTCTCTCATCTTTGCAGATGGCCTGACTAAGTACATAGGGCAATTTGTGTTAGTTTCCACTTTGCTGTGGTCTTTTAACACATCCTCAAAGACAATGCAATGTTTTTATGTCTAACACAACACTTACAATTTGTATGCCTTCAGCACAAATGCATTATTAATGAGATAGGACAAAAGGCTTCACTGAGAAACATTAAAGAGTGACATGGCAGATTGAGATTGTTTGATTGTGTTCATGTTAAGATAAATGAAAGCCGAGATCATATTTAATAAATGAATAAATTCTGATGTAATGGGAAAGAAATATTTATGTCAGGACACTTTTTACACATCTAAAAGACAATCCAAAAATGTGGGTAAACGATGTAAGGAACTAGAAATGAAAATACACAGATAGAGGAAGTGGCCTTGTAGCTGTTATTAATTATGAGAGAGAAAAACTTAACTCATCCACATGCCATTAATGTTCCTTTTATGCACATTCAAACATTTACAGAGTTTGATAAATGTTTTTAAGCAACACCCAATTTAAGAATTTGATCAGACTCTAAGGAGTGTGTGAATGTATCTTGCTTCTCTCATATCAAAACAACATTGTTATTATGACTAGTGTATAATGTAAGTCTTTATTAATCCATCTGGTTATTTCCCAGTAGTGAGATGAAAACATAATGTCAGTTGTGATGTACAATAAAACATTAACCCCAGGTTTCACAGACAGTCCCAGACTGAAATACATGTTTGAGCTGAACTTGCACTGCCATATCTTAAAACATGTCAGTGCCATCGTTTGTTTTCAAGATGAACACCAGTAATGTTTTTTTCTAAGGCACGTTTAAAAAAGCGAACTGAACTAAGGCCTAATCCTGGCTTGATCTAAGCCCTGCAAGGCCTAAAAATCAAAGTGTATTCCAACATGTCAGTGGGAAATGTACAGACTCATATACAGTATTATCCTCTCATGCAGTTACAGATGCAGAATTTTGACTGTACTTCTTCTGCGTGAGATGAGCACACATTTTTTTTTATAATTTCTTGGGTCAAGAAAGAGTCATAGTTTGACATATAAGGTAATTTCCTGGTTCATTGCAATCTTTGATTTTATCTTTCAGGACATCATTTTTGCTTAGTTGTTCTGATACGTTAAGTCCACATCCTCTGCGATATTTGTTGTCCCTCCTTAGTCATATGCACTGCCTTTTTCATCTTTCTCAATAAATATTCTTGTTCTATGTTTGCTTTTCATGTATCAGGCAGTTGGCACCTTTCATACCACTCCTGTCTCGTGACCCTGATATGACCATGGACTGGGATTTCTGCATCTGTTTGTACCTGTTTTGTGGTAAGATCAAACAGTGAAACAGTATTCCCGTTTTGATGATCAAGGTTTTTCAAATTGTCATAAAAACGGCACAGTATAGAGTAGCATCTGTTTTGGAAATATTTATAATCAAAAGTATAATGTGTCGTTAAAATTCGAATGATTTTGTGTTTATACATTCAGCTGTTTTTGATTGTCTTGGTTGTTTATGTTAGAAATGAGGTGAAAGACTGCGTAGAGCAGGGTGAATGAGCGCTTTATTAATCATGAAGATGTGGGCTTGCAAACATAAGTTGGTCACAGGCGGCCCAATTTAGTCCCTTTATATGACAAAGAAAACCCCCCATAAACGGGGACACAAAAGTGCCAGCTACTTCTGTACATGTTTTATGACTGTGTGGATCCTTAGGTGTCTCTGATAATCCTATAGTGATCATGTTTTTATGTAGTTCTTCCTGCCCCTTTTGAAGGGCTTCAGACTGAAAACAGTGACCAGAAGGCATTGGCTCCGACAATGAAGACTATAGCTGCAAAAGTAGTGGGTAACGCTTCCTTTTACAGTCCTGCTACCCATGTACATACTATGTACTTAATATAGTAATTAAAATTACTGGGTAATAACTAGATCTACATGTAGATCTGCAGATCTACATGGAGCTTCATTGGTCTCTTGCCAAAAGAGACTTTTGCAAGATTCAGTTTTGTTGTAAACTTAAATCCAGTGATATATTTGTTTATTCAATGCATTCATTTTAAATTAAATCATAGTAGCAATTATTAGTTATCGAGTTAGTTAGTCTGATTATTTCTGATGAGTTCTACCGTTAGTATTTTTCTGTAGTAATCCCAAATGAAATTCTCTAGAAAATGAATATGTCATTGCAAACATGATGTGGAAAGCAGGCGATGCTGAGAGCTGGTGGGAACAGAGCAAGGCCGGTATAGCACGAGCGTGTCCCTCCCGTGTTTCAGCACCAATGTAACAAGGTTTGTTGATGAGGGAAGAAAGAGGCGGAGAACAGCGAACTTTAATTATACATAACTTTAATTATAAAGTAAACAACAAAACGAAAGTAAAGCGGCAGCACTTCTCGGATGACTGCCACATAAAGTAAAATAAAGCACCAACATGAAGTCCAGGCCTGGTCCTCTCTCGTTTTCCACTGTCATCACTCCTCGTTTTATCCTTCCGGAGCTCCTCCGTGGGACTCGAGACCCCAGTGGCTCGCAGGTGACACTCATTAACACTAGTGTCATCGGACTTGCTCCGTTCCCTCAGCTATCGGCCCTGCCCCGCTTGCCACATATGTTAAAGATTAGCACCCTGACAATCATTTTGTTCAGTGCGCTGATGCATCTTCTCCATTGACTTTCATTCAAACTCTCTCCTTTGTTGATCATTCCAAGATGGCAGCACTGTATAGTGATTTTAGAGCAGCCAAATGCTTATCAATACACATGCTTGTTGTATTCACAGTCGGAAAGTCATGATTAAGTATCTGAAAATAGCATATTAAAACTTAATGCTCAGTAAAAATGAAGTCACAGTGACTAGAAACTATTATTTCACAGCATCGGTTTGGCAACTTCCTTATCTGAGTAACCAGTCTTCCTCTTCGCCTCTCTCTTTCATTCTGTCATCTGAGAAGTCAAACAGTCTTTTTCTGTTTGTTTCCAATGTCAGTTAATCAAACAACATGTTGTCTTTATAAAACCACTAGGACAGGATAATTACTTGCACCTAAAATGATTTATTATAATGAATAATTTAAATAGTGAGATTAATCAATTAAAATATTCACAGCCCCAAAGATCAAACCAAACAAGTGTTTGTACATGAAAAGGATTATATTTGGGGATCGAAATCCTTGGCATCAAAAAGTGTGAAAAGCTCTGAAATAACATATACCTAAAAAGATATGAGAAATAAAACAAAACAAATGTGTTCCAAATATGATGCAAGTGACATATCAATAGGATTTTAGTAAAATAAACATTCAGATTTTAGTTTTTCAATGAAAGTGTTTGCTTGTTTGTTTTATTTCTCATACCTTTTTAGATAATTGGCATCAATTTTAGACAGATCTGTTAAATGGTTTTCCATATATTTTTAAGTAAATGGGAAACATTTTAGGTTACAAATCTACAGTAACCTGTTCTGTGAGAAGGGCAACGAGACACTGCATCAGCCGCAGCTCAAGTTCCCATTTTAAAGGGAACCTATATTTGAAGAGGTTGTTCTGCATTATTAAGCAAGTCACAGTTCTCATGCAATATGGGGAGGAAGAAAGATCTTTCTGGAAATAAAAAGCATAGTGCAATTGATTTCAAAATGCATGAAAATAATTAATATTTTGTGAAAACTGAATAGAGATTATCGAATTGTCAAAAGATTTGTGAATGATTTAGAGCACAGTCAGGTGGGAACAGGGTGGCCATTCACCAACCATCCAGAAATCCATCCATCTAGACCATCCATTGTAGTACGCCATTCATTAGTGAATAAAACTAATTAAAAATCCATAAAACCCACAGTAAATGTTTCTTTTTGTGAACTTTGGTTTGGGGTGTTTGAAATGCACAACTATTTAACAGATCTGTCAGATTGATATCAGTTATCTAAAAAGATATGAGAACAAAAACACTTTCTTTGAAAAACTAAAATCTGAATGTGTATTTTACTGACATCCTATTGATTTGGAACACACACATAGGGAAAACAATATAGTATAGGTTGGGTAGGGGGTTGTTTCCCCTCCACAAGCTTTGCAGAAAGTTCCAGAAAGCTCTACTGAAATACTGCTAGCGTCTCTCCTCTGCAGCTTCTGCCCTTTTCTCAGACAATTCATTTTTTTTGGTTTAAAAATGTTTAGATATTACTGAAAAACAAGACAAGGAGACCAAATAAGATGTTTTCTAAATTATCATTTGTTTTTGTGTTTCAAAACATTCGCAATCTAAGCTGACTGACCCTAAAAATGAACATATATTTATGTATGTGTTGGTCTGCATCATTTAGCATTTCAGTCAGTGCTGATGTTCAACATCGACCCTGTGACCTGGAAATACTTCACAAGAAATAATGATGTTGGCTTTGGCTACAGAGTCATACAGAGAGATCCATCTAGGTGAGAGAAACACAGATTATATATAGCTTGGGAGGGAGGTTTGATTGTTAAACTGATTTAAATCAACCCAATGCAATTTAAACATGAAATAAATTTGAAACCTAACACATGTTTTTCTTTACTTTTCCATAGTTTGCTTGTGAGTGATCCTTTAGTACAATACAGCAGCGATGCAAGAGGACAAGTTTATAGTTGTGCAATTTCACAGGAAACTTGCCTGCCGGTGACAATTAATGGTATTTAACTTTTCACATCACACATTTTACATAATAAGTCTGATCTGACATGTACAATCTAACCGATTTTATCTATGCAATGAAAGTGCCTTCTGAAGCTGTTAACATGTCTCTTGGGCTTTTTATGACTAAGGATACACAATCTTCTAATTCAGTGGTAAGTTATATGCTCATCCTGACATGAAAAAACAACAACACACACTATACAGATTCTTTAGGCTAATGTTAGGCAGAATATTACAATTAATATGATTTAAATACTTGGGGCTATCTGTAGAATTCCAAAACCCTTGTTATTAGCGATAAGCTGAACTGAAGCACAGTTTTTAGATATACAAAGATGGTGCACTCATATTACTAACGATTAGGAGAAAGTGCAACACGCAATATAAATAAAAGACCCGATTGCAGATTGCTAAAGTCATTTTGTTACTGCAGCTGCCGTTAGAAGCTCTGTTTGCTATAGAAAAAGTCATTGTTATGAGTCACATGCTTAGGACCGCACATGCGCATTGGCTGGTCTAGCCTGAAAAATAGGCTTCTTAACACTATTTGAACATAATGAACAACATTTATTGAGACAGTTGTTGTAAGATTTCATTGGTGATTTTAAATATGAAATTTAATCGTAAGCTTGGTGAACAGCTTTGGAGAATTTGATGTTTCCCTCTTCCAAGATATACTCGCATGACTGAAATAGCTGCCTGAGAGGTGTTTCGTTACAAGCACGTTACACATTAGCAATAAAAAAGTAATTATTAAATGAAAATTCTTACATTTAGCCCCTTTAGTTTATGTTTATATTCATTTTATATATTGCTCTTCTATACTTGTGTTTTATGTGCTTATCGATAAAATGAAAAACTCTCACTCCCCCTCAGGTTTGTGGTCCAACCATTCCTAAGGACTGCAAAATAATTACTACCCTCAATGGTATGTGCTTTAATATCAGTGGAAACAATGTAGTGAGTGCACCTATACCACGTGCTTTGAGAAGTAAGTCAAATGAAGAAGTACATAAATCCCTGTGCTTTTGCATTTTTGTTAATCTAATCATATGCTAAACTCCTCATTCACAGGCTGCCCTCTAGAAATCGATATTGCTTTTCTAATGGACGGCTCTGAGAGTGTAGAAGACCCAGATTTCATTAGAATGAAAACTTTTGTTATAACCATAATCCAGAGTTTTTCCAAGTGCAATTCTCAGGTATGATGTTTTGAGGATTCCAGAAGGATCATTTTTACCTGACTCATAAAGTGTGGTTCACATTGCAGCCCACCACCAGTTTAGACAGGAACAGGACTGACATGCACAGATTTTCATGTGTGAATGTTTTCTTGTCTTTTAGTTTGCTGTTGCACAGTTCTCCACTGATAATGAAATTCACTCCAAGTTTGAAACAGTTAAAGACATTCATTCATGGAGGACAAGAATAGGAGAGATAAAACAGCAAAGAGGATGGACCTACACTGCAAAGGCTATAAATAAACTTATGTACGACACCCCTAATGTTATCAACATTCTAGTATCTCAAAGATCCTCTTCAAAATGTATTAGTGCAACATTCATTTTCAAATCTAACATTTAAAGTTTTAAAAATTTACAGACTTTCAGCTGTTTGCAATGAACAAATCAAACAAAAGTAATTGAAATAGCTCAACACGACAAATGTTTCAAGTGGTGTCCGCAAATTTCTACAAAAATGCAACTTTTAATGACTTAATTTCGATTACAACTGTTTTATTTTCTGTGTTCAAATATAAGAAATACAGTAAAGTGCATAAACAACTGTACCTCTGCTGTACACTGAAAAAGAAAAAACCCATTTGGTGTAGAAACAATTTTCAACTAGAAATTGCTAGTAAATTTTACAATTAATAACACAAAACAGCAAGTAATACATTTAATTAAATGTGAAATTTTAAAGTAGAAAGACTGAAATAGGATTTACTTACAGTATTTACACACTGTAGCAATCTGTTTTATTTACAACTTTGTGTATATGCATATGTAACTTATAATAGCAATCCTGATTTGTCATCTTCAAATGCTTTTCTTATTTTCAATGTACAGGGATGAGCTCTTCATAGCTGAAGGAGGGGTGAGGCAATCATCAATTAAAATCTTAATTGTTATCACTGATGGTAGATCAAATGATGAACCTCATCTCAGAGGTGCTGTTGAAAAGGCAAAAAAGAAGAATATCATCCGATTTGCTGTTGGGGTAAGATCCATGCATCAAAAAAGGATGCAACAGCACACAAAAAGTATAATTAAAATAGTCCCCCAAAGAGAGTATCCATTTTGTCAACAAACCACTCTTTTAAGTTATGTCTTTTCAATAAATCTTTTGATCCAGTACAAAATACTTGTGTATTACAAGAAGGTCCAGTTATACTTAACATTAACGGTTCACCTAACATTATAACAATGAGCAATACATTTGTTACATTATTACATGTTAGTTCATTATAGCTCAGTTCCATTAAATAATATTAACAGACAACCTTTAAGTTTGTAAATGTATATTAGTAAATGTTGACCAAGAACTTAGGGCACTAGAAAACATGAACAGAACAACCAAACATAACGCAACGAGAAGTGACAAAGAACTGAAGGAAACACAGAGCTTAAATAGACAGAGCAAACCAATCAATGAAATGAATAACAGGTGAACTTTACACGTTCACACGGACTATACAAGTTACATTACTCCCCCCCCCTGGAAGGCACATCCCTGCACCGTAAAAATTGTCCAACTGAGGGAGGGTGGGGTCTTAGGTGGGGGACGGAGTGCAGGGATATGGGACAGGCAGGGCCAGGGTGGAGACGAATGTGGGAGGAGACAGGGTGGAATGCCCAGCAGAAGGGCCAGGATGCAGGAGTTGTAGGGAGGAGTCATGGAGAAAGCTTGAGAGGCGTACTCAGGGTGACGAGCGACTGAGATGGATCCGATGGTAGTGGAGACCCGGGGCAAAGCTGAAGAGTTGACGGGACCGGCTACATCGAAGGTCCTTGAGGGCAGGGCGGAGCCGCAGCGATGAGCAACCGGAGCAGAGCCAGGGCTTTGGAGGACTGAGGCAAAAGCGGAGCGACCTAGGACCAAGGTGGAGCTGGAGGGAAGGAAGAGCCCGCAAGAGCCATAAGGGTGGAGGGATGAGGTGCAGCCGAAGGCCCGGAAGTCCATGGCGATGGTAGAGCGACAACTGACCAAGGCAGAGACAGAGGGGAGAAGAACCCCACTGGAGTTGCAGGGACAAAGGTCCCGGGTGTAGCCGAGAAAGGCGAGAAGCCAAGGTGGCACCGATTGCTCAACAGGCTGAGGTGGAGTGACAGGCCCGGAGGTTCTGGGCAGAGCTGTGGTCGACACTCCAGGGCTGAACTGTTTAACACATGTTAAAGCTGAAGGGCAGTGCAGAGTAGACAATGCAGGCAGGACTGGAAGACTGGGAAGTGCAGACAGGAATTTCACAATTAACTCTTTAGGAAGACACAGAACAGACAAATCTCTCGTGAATGACACTCTTGGCTGACACAGAACAGGAAGGTATCTTCTGAACGACCCTTCTTGACTAACACAGAACAGGCATACAATTCTTATAAGGCAGACCCGAAACATTCAGAGGTGGTGGGAGTGGGAGGTAGGGTGAGAACACTGACATCAATAACATGGTGCTGGGTGACAACACAGGCTCAGTGCATGGGGGGACAGGTGTTGCACACTCATTTGCAAAGTCAATTAGCAACTCTTCCTCTGCCGCAGTAGAGAAGGTAGGGCTCCACTCCATCCCCTCCACCAAAATACCTTCAGGGACTGACGATGTGGCCGGCTCACACACCTGGTCAGATGTTTCTTCGGGCTCAGGCTCCAGGGCGATTTCTCGCTCAGGCATCCGCTCTGGTACTGGTATCGCGGCAGGCTTGGACTCCACGTCTGTGGTAGGCTCAAGCTTGTCCATCGCTGGGGTGGTGGCAGTGGCTAGCACACTGTTTTCCTCCTCACTGTCTCAGATTGTGAATGGGGAACTGTTGGGGAGGAGTATCCAATCCACATAGTCCTTGAAAGTCCCTAGAGGATAGTTTCCGGGCAAGCACGCTCTCATCTCCACATTGAGGCTTGTCCGGAAAAGCACACTGTGGCAGTCGTAATCATGGGACGTGATGGCAAACGTCCAGAATTGCCAGTGTATGCCACTCTAGGGACTGGCTCCCCTGCGAGAGGAGGATGATTCTTTTTGCTGCTGTATCCATTTTGAGGTCAGTTCTTCTGTCATAGTTGGGTTGCAGTAAATGAGGGGTAAAGGATCTTAACTTTTATTAAAACTAAGAACTCAGGGCACTAGAAAACATGAAAAGAACAACCAAGCATAACGAAATGAGAACTGACAAAGAACTGAAGTAAACACAGAGCTTACTTTAATAGACATACCAAACCAATCAATTGAATGAATGAATGAATGAGGCATTTATATGGCTCTTTCATATGTACTACTGTACACCCAAAGCGCTTACAATTATATCAGGGAATCTCTCCTCAACCACTACCAGTATGCAGCTGGATACAATTAAATTAATAAGTTGAAATTAATTTGCCTATAACTGGCACACCCAAAGTAACTAGGTCAACATACACAAGCACGGAACAGAAAAGAACCAAACCAAAACAGAATATACACGTTACAATTTTATTGTAAAGCATTACCAAAACTTGGTTAATTTTATTATATTATAAGCTTTAAACTCTAGTCCCCATTCATAAACAGTGACCATTACAGCAATCACAATGTCAGAGTAAATGATGACAAAGATGTTGTTTTTGGGTGAACTAATCAGTCAAGAAAGTTTAATCTTCAGATGATTTTTAATTTTTTTTAACCTTTATCTTTGCATCAAACAAGATATAATAAGATGAAATGTTTAAATGGCCCAAAAATGCCTGTCTTGTCTTTTCAATGATCAAAGATCGGTGAAGCTTTTGATGATCCACGCACAAAGCAACAGTTAGAAATTATTGCATCTGCTCCTGTTGCTGAACATGTGTTTAACGTGACTGACTTCGACGCATTGGACAGTATCCGTGAACAACTGGAAGAGAACATTGCAATCGAAGGTGTGTTTACTGATAAGAGCAAAACATTTGAGAAAATTGTAGATGAGAGGAATAAGGAAATTTAATTGGAAAAGTAGTGTTACAATAGTGCTGAACAAACTTGCTATGCTTGTATTTGCCATGACCAAATTACAGCCAAGCTGAAATTCATTATAACAGAGTGAAATGTGATATCACTTCTTCTTCTTCTTCTTCTTCTTCTTCTTCTTCTTCTTCTTCTTCTTCTTCTTCTTCTTCTTCTTCTTCTTCTTCTTCTTCTTCTTCTTCTTCTTCTTCTTCTTCTTCTTCTTCTTCTTCTTCTTCTTCTTCTTCTTCTTCTTCTTCTTCTTCTTCTTCTTCTTCTTCTTCTTCTTCTTCTTCTTCTTCTTCTTCCATTTAAATGTAATAATGTATTTTCTTTCAGGAGTCCAGTCCACTGGTGATTCTGCTGAAATGGAGTTTGCACAAGATGGATTTAGTGCAGTGTTTACATCGAATGTAACTAAATACTTCAAGGCTTTGTTTTGAAAACCATTTTTTATTTAAGCAATAATTTAGGCAGCCAACAATGCAATGGATACTATGTATCACTCTCCTGAGATTGAATAGTGAAGATTATTTTACATATACACATAGATTGCAAATAATAATGTTGGATGGGTCAACAATACTTTAAAATAATTAAGATTTTTAAAATATTTTTGAAAGAAATCTCTTCTGCTCACCAAGGTGGCACTTATTTGATCAAAATATAGTAAAACAATAATATTTTTAAATATTATTACAATCTAAAATAATTGTTTTATATTTTAATATACTTTAAAATACAAATTATTGAATTTTCAGCATCATTACTCCAGTCTTCAGTGTCACATGATGCTTCAGAAATCTGATTTAGTGCTCAAGAAACATTTCTTATTAGTTAATAATAGACAATACCAAAATAGAAAAGTGGTGTAGAGGGAAAAAAATACAAATACAAATACAAACCTCTTTATTTAGGTAAGCCTGATCATGAGTTCTGTGGGAGCTTTCCAAGGGAAGGGCGGATATCAAGAACAGTATCAAAATGACCAATCATCAGACTTCCATGTGGGAAGTGAGCAAGATAGTTACTTGGGTAAGACCTTGCTCAAACAGATAAAAATGCATAAAATTGGCCATACATTTATTGAGGTCATCTACAATCTAAATAAAAGGATACTGTAACAATGATGCCCAAAACAATGTACTCGCTTCCAAGCCTATATCAATACAAACAAGAATATTCTAATGAATATCTGAGTTGCTTTTTCCATATAATGAAAACATGTTGTGACCAGTGGTTGTCTGATGGTGAGTAAATGATGGCTATTATATTTTTTTGAGTGCACTAATTTCTTTAAAGATTTGATTATCTTATGTTTTTTAAAGGTTATTCAATGACAGTAGCAACACGGTCTAAAAAAAAGTTTGTGATTCTGGGAGCACCAAGATACAGGCATAAAGGACAAGTGAGCATTTCAATAATTGGAGTTAACAAAACAAACCTGCTGGTGGAGTCACCCAAGGTACATGTGAATCATATTTGTTTAATTTGTTTGATAAAAAGTGCAAGGTACTTGAATCTTAACTTAGTTTTGTCTTTTTTGCAATGTATTGGCCGTTGCATTTTGTTGTACTATTATCAGGTGTTCTTATAGCATATTGGGCATAGGATTTGATTCTGAAGAGACCTTTCCTTTTTTATTCTTTCACAGTCTCAGATTGGTTCATACTTTGGGGCTGAGGTCTGTGTGGTTGATCTGAACTCTGACGCAAAAACAGATCTTCTATTAATATCTGCACCAACGTATATAGACTACCATTCTGAAGGCAGAGTTTTTGTGTACTTTTATTCTCGGCAGGTAGGTTAAAATATCAATTCCATTTTCTAAATTCCAGATTCCTTTAGACTTTATTTAGTCTTTTAAAAGTTTTGTGCTTTTTCTGTTTTTTTTGCAGCCATACTTCACTTTTTCTGTGGTGCTGGTGGGCATGGCAGGTCAGAGGGGTCGGTTTGGCTCTTCTCTGGCCAGTCCAGCAGATCTGAATGGTGATGGTTTCATGGATGTGCTGATTGGAGCTCCTTTAGAAGAGGATGGACAGGGCAGCATCTACATCTTCAATGGCGGAATAGATCAAATAAATCCCAAATATTCACAGGTCTGCCAATTTTAGTACCTCACCTTGTAACCTTTTGTGGACTGCCACTTATATATCACTTCTTTATGACATTTGGCTTGACCTAAAACAGTTCCCCTTTCTCTTATTCTTTGTGTTATGTTAGAGAATTACTGGATCAGCTGTGCGCTCAGGTTTACATTTTTTTGGACTTGCTCTTAGTCAGTCCTCCCTAGATCACAGTGGAGACAGTCTACCAGACATTGCTGTTGGATCAAAAGGAGCAGTTTTGCTTCTTAGGTACAGTACTTCCTGTAACTTCAGTATACACTCTCAAAAATAATGGTTCCAAAAGTGGGGTTTCTCAGCGATGCCATAAAAAAACCTTCCCTAAAGAACCTTTCAGTTAACAGTCCATATATTTTTCTTAGTGTGAATAACATTTTAAATATCCAAAGAACCATTTTCCTCTATAAAGAACCTTTTGTGTATTGGGAAGGTTCCATGGATGTTTCTACATGGAACCATCGATGCTAATAAAGAACCTTTATTTTTAAGAGTGTATTTACACACACATTCCAATCTAATAGAATGAACTGATTAATAATAGTAGACATCCAATAAATTCACAAACAGTAACATACAGAGCTCATGGTCCACTCTGATCCATTAATTCGTTATGTTTCGCAAATGTGTATTTTCCTACAACATCCAGGTCCAGACCAATAGTGTCTGTGGATGTGAAAGTAACCTACAGCCCATCCAAAATTTCAACAGTTGAAGCAAACTGCACCAGGCCACTGGAAAACACCTTGACAGTGTGCTTCAAAATGAGTGGATACAAACAAGCTTTAACAGGTTCCCCCAAATGTTATCGCAGACTTTGTTATTTTCAATAAATAATTTGAATACAAATATCATAAAATGTTATTCAATGCCATTTCCAGATTTGGCTGCAAATATTAGCTATAGGTTCAAGCTGGATGCCAAGCGACATAACCACCGAGCATACTTCTTACCCAAAAATCGTGTCCTCAGTAATGTTGTAAATGTTACACTAGAGGAGGTATGCAAAGACCATCCTTTCCTTATAGAGGTAAGTCATGTATTAATTCTTTTGTAGCAGCAAACAAGCCATTTCTAATTCTATAATATACATACAACTTTGAATAGTTTTAGCATGTTAATGGATTTATGAATATGACCATTTTAATGTATTTGGTCATGGCGGACTAAAACTGCTACGCTGCTGCTGTTGCAGCAACTATGGATTTGCTACTGGATATAGATACATAGACATGCTGCTGTGAGATTGTAAAATTTGCTGCTGCATGAATAGGCATACATAAATCTCATAGCAGCCTGTGCTATCTAGAGTTTCATATGTGTATGTATGTAACAATTTATAAATTGTTCACCTTGTCCAGTCTTGCACAGAGGACTCTCTCAACCCACTGCTTAATGAATTAATGTTCACTTTTGAGGGTCTGCCCTCCCAAAGTCTGGAGAACTTAAAGCCTGTTCTCTTACCATGGATTAAGAACACTACATTATGGATGGTAAGGGACACATATTTAAAGTTAACCTATATTGTCATAAAGTCAGCCCTTCATGAAGTTGCTTCAAGACAGAATTAGTTGTCATTATTAGTAGCAGACCTACTGTGAAACATTAGTTTCTACTGTGAATTAGTGTGAGTAATCGTACACTCACTGGCTACTTTATGAGGACCCTCTTTTGCCCTCAGAACTGCCTTAATTCTTTGTGGCATTGATTCAACAAGGTGCTGGAATCAGTGATTTGGTCCATATTGTCATGATAGCATCACACAGTTGCTGCAGATTTGTCAGCTGCACATCCATGATGCAAATCTGCCGTTCCAGCACATCCTATTGGATATATACGCTGCTCTAGTGGATTTAGATCTGGGGACTGTGGAGGTCATTTAAGTATTGTGAATTCACTGTCATGTGCAAGAAATCAGGTTGAGAGGATTTGAGCTTTGTGACATGGTGCATTATCCTGTTGAAAGTAACAATCAGAAGATGGTCCACTGTGGTCATAAAGGGATTGACATGGTCAGTAACAATTCGGTGGCATTGGCATTGGCGGTGGCATTTAAACGATGCTCAATTGGTATTAAGGGGCTCAAAGTGTGCCAATAATATATCCTCCACACCATTACACCACCAGCAGCCTCAACCATTAGGTAGGATGGAGCCATGCTTTCATGTTGCTTACGTCAAATTCGGACCCTACCATCTGAATGTCGCAGCAGAAATCTAGAATCATCAAACCAGACAATGTTTTTTCAATCTTCTATTGTCTCATTTTGGTGTGCCCGTGTGAATTGTAGCCTCAGTTTCCTGTTCTCAGCTGACAGGAGTGGCACCGGTGTGTGTCTTCTGCTGCTGTAAGGTTTGACGTGTTGTGCATTCAGAGATGCTGCAGACCTTGGATGTAACAAGTGGTTATTTGAGTTCAGTGGCGTAGGCAGAAATTGTATTTTGGGTGGGCCAGTGAAAATGTGAGTGGGCCTATAGTTTTTCATAGAAAAAAATGACTTCAGTAATAATTAACCTTAGAGAGTAGAAAAATTAATAGACAAACTGCAAAAACAGTTACACCTTTTTTCCGGCAAATCATCATGTTCAACCAACAGAGCTTAATAAAGGCTGGACAAACCAGTGTAGACAATAACCTGTCTATTTTATTCAGCAGTGCAAAGACAGTTCACCCGAAAATAAAGTAAGCTAAAATAATAATATCGCAGCTAGATCGGCGGGTAAACCCGCGTCAGGCTGATCGGGAGAGAGGGAGCAAGAAGCAGCCGCCACCAGCACCTGACTAGCCTTCTTGTGGGTTAATGAGTCTGATCTTCGAAGAACTGGGCTGTGTGGACTCGGTAGATGAAGGCAGTGGTGTGTCTTCTCTTCTTCCTCAACTCTTGCTTTTTTCAAATAGCACATTAAAGAAAGTTGTTTAGCCATTATTGTGGCCCCGACGCCGCTGTGAGTTTTCCTGTCGGAACCCCCAGCAACCATAGCAACCAATAACGTTCCGGAGAGAGTCTACAACTTGCTTCGACAGTTCCATTTTTATTCGGAAAACGAATTAAACACACACAGCAGTCAACAATAAATCAGGTATTAATATATTTTCTTAAATACATTTGAATAAAAATAAACTAAAAATGTATTTTTTATCAAACTTGCCTGGGCGGGCCAGTGAGTAATGTGGGTGGGCCAGTGCCGCCCTGGCCCAATACTGGCTACGCCCCTGTTTGAGTTACTGTTGCCTTTCTATCAGCTCGAACTATCCTGCCATTCTCCTTTGACATCCGGCATCAACCCTAGAGATGGTTGTGCATGAAAATCCCAATAGACCAGCAGTTTCTGAAATACTCATACAAGCTCATTTGGCACCAACAACCATGCCACGTTCAAAGTAACTTTTATCACATCTCTTCCTCATTCTGATGCTTAATTCAAACTTCAGCAGATCGTCTTGACCATGTCTACATGCCTAAATGCATTGAGTTGCTGCAATGAGATTGGCTGATTAGATATTTGTGTTCAAGAAAAGTTGAACAGGTGTACCTAATAAAGTGGCCGGCGAGTGTACATGGGAATATATGTAAAAAAAAAAAAAAAAAAAATATAGCTGCGAGCAGCGATTACGGGCCCAAGCCGGTGGCACCGCAACCCCGGTGCCTTTAGTTACCTAAAGGCACCGGGGTGGCGGTACCACCGGCTTTGGCCCTTCATCGCTGCTCGCAGCTATATTTATATATATATATATATATATATATATATATATATAAAGCCGGTGGCACCGCCACCCTGGTGCCTTTAGGGTTATTGTGCACGACGTGCAAAAACGTAACCCTGCTTTGACTGTCGAAAAGAAGTGTGCTGTAGAGCTTGTATCAGTGTGGGCTCTGCAAAAGTGTGCATTGAGGGCACATATCAACCACAAAGTATGCGAGAGCAACCTTCTGAAAGGTCAGGTCTACATCCAGGTCTACATCTGCCGTGTGTTTACATCATAGTAGTGAAGTTTGAAGCAATCAGGTGATTTCAAAGCTTTTTGAAAGTGACAGACTTCCTGCTGCCAGTTGGTGGCGCTATAACCGGGGTGGCGGTGCCGCCGGCTTTGGCCCTTTCATCGCTGCTCGCAGCTATATTTATATATATACACACACAAACACACACACACACACACACACATATATATATATATATATATATATATATATATATATATATATATATATATATATATATATATATATATATACATAAATATATATATATATATATACATAAATATATATATATTGTTTTTTTAAGAGACAAGACAGAATATTACTTGCCTGATCTGATTAGAAAAATAGTGTTTGTGTGTGTGTGTGTGTGTGTGTGTGTGTGTGTGTGTGTGTTTGTGTGTGTGTGTGTGTGTGTGGCGTAATTGAACAATGTAGACATAAAAACATACTCCGTCCTTTTGTTCATACAGGACATTATTCAAACTGCAAAGTGTTTACTTATATTTGTGTACACTTGCAATAAAACACAACATTGTGCTTTTGTCAAGCTATAAACTCTTGTCAAACTGTAAACTACAACTGTCACCCAACCAAAATCTCTTACACACACACACACACACACAGTTTAAAAGCAAAAAATATCAAACAATCCTATTTAAAAACAGTCTGTGGGAGCCATCTTTTGGACATTCATCATATCGCATTGGTTTTCATTTCTTGTCATCAAACAGAGCCCTAATCTGTTTATTTTTTCAGTTACACATTCTACATTGATTAAAAAAGAAAAATCAAATGTGTTTTTATTTTATACAGAAATAAATAATCTATCATTCAGATGAGAATAAAGTTAGTGTTAGTTCAAATTTTAAGGAAAACAAATATATGATCTGAAATATAGCACATTCATTTAAAATTCATTCAGGTTCAATTACCAAACATACAATCTTAATGTAATTTAAAGCAAACAATACATTTAAAATATATGGGTTGTATGACTATTTTTTAATATAAAAAGATATATATCCAAAAAGACAAGGCCTAAAGTTTAACAAGGGTTAAACTCTTATCACTGTAACAGACACAATCACACACACAATCACACACACACACACACAAGTCAAATCACTTACATTTTACATGCAATATTGACTTTTTTTCTGTTTCAGCAGCGAAAATAGTTAAACAAAGATCACAGCAGAACCATCGCGCATCTCACAGCAACGCGTTCTCATTACTGAATGATTCAGCATTTTGAACGAATCGGTTGACTCAAAGATTCAATGACCAATCAATCCATAAACATCTATCTCATTCATGAATGACTCAGTCGTTCAAACGAATGAATCAATGACTCGCTCATTAAGACGGTCGCCTGGCGACACCTAATGACGGTTTAGTGTTATGTTTAAAAGTATCATTCTTTCCAACGATTGTTAATTAACTCATATTTGAAACATAAGCTATATTTATATATATACATACATATACACACACATACACAAAAATAAAATAAAAACACATTTGAAACGTGTTTGCTTACTAAATTGTGAGCTGAACGAAAGTTGCAGCAAATATCAGCAACAGGAGTCAAATTTCATTAATCACGAGAGTGAAGAGCTGACTGAAAAGATGATGATGGAATAGGCTATTTTATGTAAAAACGCCTATTTAAGCGAATCTGTCATTGTATTCTTTTATTGTTGTGTTTTCCGTGAAAAATAATAGACTATTGAACTCACAATTCAAGCAATCGGCCCCCGAAATTGCACTAATTTTAGTGACACTAAAAAGTATGCGGCTGCACTGGCATTCATAATGGTGCGCGTCCATGGCGACGAGCGAGCAGAACAGAGCGAACGTTTAGTTAATTTCTACTTCCATAGGAATTCATTCGAGCGCCACCATTTCAATGTCTGTGCGGACGTCCATATTATACTTTCGCTTTCAAGTTAGTGTTTTTAAACCCCTCAGCGGGAGGTTTACACAATTGGTTTACACAATCACACGTTGATTAACCGGTGGGAAAATATTCCCATAGTAACATCCCTAATATATAAATATTTATAAATTCAATAGGCCTACCTGATTTTGAACACAAGAGGGCAGTATAGCACTATATATGATTTGGATTATTATCATTTTTGACTAAACAACCATTCTGGCTGTTTTTAAACTTAAAAATAATTCTTAAATTGAAAAAAAGGAATAAAATGGGTTTAGTTCTAATATTTGTATAATTTTATATAAAAATAAATGGTGTATAATTACATTTTAGAAAGATATGAGACATGCCCTGATTCTTTTTTTGACATTACTTGAATCCCTCAACCATAGCAAAACCGTTTGAGATATTCAATATCTGTTCACAATTTAGCATCTTCAATGTATTTTCATCATGTTGAAAAAGTTTGGCATGAATAAAATAAACTACTTAGGAGGAGTAGCTAAAAACTCAGAATCTGAAATCCACATTCAAACCAAAATATCTGACTTCCTGTTGGTCGTAGCTAA